TTTTTTTTTTTTAAAGAAAAGTTAGGCCACAGAAGTTACTGGAAGGGGAGGGGTAGAGGGTACTTTTCTTTGAGAACTGAATACTTCCTGAAATAACTATGGGATCACCCCCATCTGCAGTGTGTACACTACAGAAAACCAACAGACCTGGGAAAGGCAGGGATCAGCTTGTTTTCATGTCTGCTTTTTACTGTTAGGAATTTCTTGTATATTTGTGTCTCCCACCCCGCCCCAAATTTAGGATGTTTGGGGAACTGCAAAGACTGTATCGATAGCAGACAATAACATGAATGAGCCAGCAATGGGCCCTTGGTTTCAATAGCTGAGGACTGCATAGGTAGAGGCAACCTTTGAAAGGAAAGAAATACATAGTTTAACATTGGTATCCTCTGTTATGATTGGCTGAATGTGTTATAGTATTTTACTGTAGTCATGCCTGTGAAGGTCTGCCTTTGATGGTCTGCTTACTTTTCCAAACTAAGTGGTAGCATTTTCAAGCTCTAGCACTTAACAAATTTGGATTCAGAGTAAGAGAGAAACTTGACTGCCATTTGTTTAAGGCTTTCCAGTAAGCAGATATTTCTTTGCAAAACTACTACTAGTTTTAAAAATTAAACAAGTCTTGAATAAGCTGAGTGTAACCTAGATGTTTGTTATTTTAATAGAGGTTTATAAACCAATAGCAGAGAGGGAGAGGGATGGCCAGTTAAGGCATCTTAAAAAAAAATCCACATATGGCTTTGGTTTGCTGAAATACTATTTTACATTGTTAAAAACAAAAAAAATGTCAAATGTGCGAACATGTATGAGGCATTCACATATTTTGTTTAGGATTGACAGCTACATAAGTGTCTGCAGGTGAACACAAAGACATCTCCCCTCGTGATGGCATAAGAGTAAAAAGGTAATCCACGCATTTATCTCACAGTAGAAGGCAGCCCAGAAGTCTGTGCAGAAGTGACATATAAGGAGTTACTATCAGGAAGAGAGGGAACCACAGAATTTCCATTGGTGGGAGAGCAACCCAGTTTCAGTTTTTCCAAATACTCTGCATGAACAGGCTTGTGACACTGAAGAACCTTGATTGCATCTTCTACTTTAAACCATTCTCTCTTTCTTCCTAAATTGGAAATTTAAGAAAAAAAAGTTACCAAGAAAAAGCAATTTTAATACATTTCAAGTGGGGTGACAGAAATAACTTTACAAACTAATCTGGAAAGGAAGAGGGTGCTGCTATTACAGGGAAGACACAAAGACCTAAGACATTTTGTTCCCTGCCTCCCCAATTCTGTAACATTAGTTGCATCTTTTCTGACTGACAACTGGAGAAGCAGTAAGTGACAGCAAATCACTATACAGTGAAATCAACTTTCTGCTGATATTTTAGTTTCAACAAACTTTTAAAGTGTGCTCTTTTGTAGCTGTTCTACTTCATTCATCCTATCTGCTTCTGCACAATTCATGCTCTTAAAACAGAGTCTAATCCTAATAGCTGAGAAGACTACCAGCAGAATATGAACCAGACAAATTTGTTCACTGCTTATTAAGTTGGCATCCTACAATTCAAAGTGTCTACACCAGACTAGCTCCTATGTTTGTTTACTCCAGCATAAACTAGCTTGGGAAACAAGTCACTCATTCTAGAATGGAGCACCTGCACATCAAGTTAGCCAGCTTGTGAATGTAAAGCATAATATTTACCAGCTGTAAGCTCTTTTTTCCAGAATAATTTTCCATGTGTGGATCAGCTCCAAGACAGAATATCAGAGGGCTTTATTTTTAGAAGCAGTTACCTCTTCACTAAATACTTCAAGTTGGATAAGGGTTACATTCTAGAAGTCTGGGGTTAATTCCCTTTTCCTTTACAACTTAAGTGTGCTACACTGTACTACTTCACTGTACTTAGTGAAAGTTTATTACAGCAGCAAGAAACATTTTATGCATGCAAGCACACCTACCACACACACACACAAATAGATAAGTGGAATAGCATGACTACATGTCACTGGAGGGCAAAAAACTTCACTCTCCAGGCATCAGCACTGGCCTTGTGGTAAAGCAGTTTCTGAAGTAGACAAGGCATTGCCAAACAACCTAAAGCACTGGTTCTGCTGTAGCTTCCTTAGTTGCTCTAACATGCAGTTTAAACTGGTCATTGCTATTTTGCTAAATTAATACATACTTTAAAAAGACAACTGTTAATTTGTAGGCAAAACTACAAATATACATTTGTTTCAGCATAGTTAAGGATTGATTCAGGTTACCAATGGAGGTGCAGTGATATATTGGTGCCATATCAGAGCAGCACCAACAAGATGGAAATTAACATTATCAGCTATTGGCTTTTTTTGGCTGGCATAGCTGATAACATACTGATAAATATAGTACACCTTCTGGCCAGGGCCCCTGGTCACTGCATGCATATGGCCAGGAATACAGCCAAGCAGCATGGAGAGCAGCACCCTGCAGCTAAGTATGGAGGGGAAGGGGTGTGGAAGGGAGCAGATCGAGGCCCCCATGGTGAAGGAGGGAGTGGGGCAGGGGCTGGAGTTGGGGCAGGGCAGTGAATGGGACCCTGGGGCCAAGGCAGGGAGTAGGATGGAGCCATGGGTGGCTCATCCAAGGGATCAGTGTTCTAGTGCTTAAAATGGCAGCAGGGGCACTTGAACTAAAGCTCATTATCCAGCAGACGTAGCAGTAGCAAGACGTGCCTCTAGCTGCTGGATGAGCAGGGGGCACAGCATAGCCAGCATGCGGCTCCCTGGGCAAAGGCAGCAGGGCAAAAAGCCCCAAGCCCACAGTGGGCAGTCCACCTCCACCCTCAGCCCGCTCAGCTCAGCTCTGGATAAAAAAAAGTGTCCCAGTGCTTAAAAGTGGTGGCAGCAGCACTTGAACTAAAGCTCATTTGATAAGGTTTAGTTCAAGCACCCCTGCCACCATTTTTAAGCACCAGGATGATGATTCCCCAGATGAGCCACTTGTGGCTCCATCCTGCTCCCTGCCCAGGCCCCACTCCCTCTACCCCCCCCCCCAAGCACCTCTTCTCCTCCACAGATTACCTGCAGGGTGCTGCTCTCCATGCTGCCCAGCTGCATTCTTGTAAATCAGTCACTGGATCAGTATTGGCCAATATGCCTGGTGAATAGCTGGCTACTGGTATCGGCCAAAAAAAACTTTATCAGTGCACCCCTAATCAGTACTTGTGTGATGCAATAATTAGAAAATGACTAGTTTCTCGTCTGTTCATGACAGGCTTGGGACAGACAAATATCTTATTACTAACATGGTCATTATTGAATGATAGGGGAAACCAGTCAAAAGTTTCCCATTAAAAATTGGGAAGGATAGTTTTCAAGACTTCTCATGCATTTTTTAAAAAGTAAACACTAAATGATTATATACTAACAGAGGCATCAAAAATGTTGATGTAGTAAATGTTTTCTGTTAGAAGTACTACTATCTGACGAACTGTATTTGTGACTAAATATTTGGGAACTCTCATTCGGTCTAAAATCCTCATATTGTTCATCCCATTCTATTGCTTTATGATGGCTACTTTATACAAAATAAGAGTAATGAACATATCTGAAGTCAGAACCAGTTAAGTCTACGCAGATGTTGAGAGAAATTCCTTATTTCCAAGAGTTTCAGTTTATGCCACATGAACCATCTCCAG